TCGTCCTTCCTGACTTGACTAACAATTTCGCCCTGGCTCAGAACCTTAGGAACGAACCTTTATTTGCCCATTTCCATCGAGGAACGGGCGTGAACCATGTCCTTCTCCGTCGCCATGCTCATCCCTTTCACCATGTCCTTCTCGCACTACTTTTTCTATCTAGCTCTCACTTCACTAACCCAAAGCCGAATCTAACACTTCCACTGACCTCGCCCGGCCTAAGACCCCCTACTCATCACTTTTCCCCGCCCGAATCCGATAAGAAGCGAGCGGGTTACGGTTTCCCCTTTCCGCCATACTCACCTTCCTCTCTGCTCCGCCCTTTCCTCATCCCCTCATGCATCCGACGCGATTTAGCGTCCAGATTCTGTCTTTTTCTTTGCTTTCCCTTGGCTGCCCTCGTACGCCCCCACTCTCTTCCATTCTCGCTCTCTTCCCGCTGCTGCCCATTGCTCCCACTCTCGCTTGTTCTCACCATCGGCCGGCGAGCGCCTTAGCGCAGCAGCCTTTCTATCTGCCCCGACCTGCCCGTCCGCTGCTGCATAACGCTGCCCGGTCCTGATGCTACCGGCTGGTACTTGGCCGGTATCACCCACCTGCTGGTGGGTGCAGTACCCACATGTTCCCTCGTTCCGTATTCCCTCCGTCCAGTCTTACCCCTCGTCCACAGTCGCCCTTCCTACTAACCCCGATTCTCTCATTGACTCATTCCATCTACGCTTTGGTTGTGCTAAGGGGAGCTTCGAGGAAGACTAGGTACCGACCGGCTCAGACAGCCTATCGCCCGTATACCTTGCTCACGTGCGGCCCGCCCACAGTAGTACTGCAGGTTTTCCCCATAGCGCCACAGGCCCTCGCCTGCCAAGAGCGCGGGCTAGGCCAAGGCAGTCGAATGGGTATCGATTGACACAACCCGCGAGATGGTGCTTATAGAAGCCTAAGCCCACCTGGGAGCGCATGGCAACTCCCTGCTGGTCCGACCAGCCCCGACAACGGCTGGTATTTGAAGCACGCGGCCTATACACGATAGCCTTGGCGGCCCTAAATGCACCGACTAGAAGGGAAGTGTTGGACCTACTGCGAAAGCGGACAGTGCTCCTGCAAAAAAGTCCCGCCACTCAAGTTTCTTCCGGCTCGTGGGCTAATCACCCGCCGGCTCGTATGCACATTAATTTCCCCTGACCAAATATCCCGAACGTACAAGAACACGTAGGTTAACCAAGGAAGGTTCTCGCTCAAGGTTCTCGACTGTCGTGACGGCCTCCAAGAAACCGGCGCCGCGTCTGAGTCAAAAAAATGCCAACGCATAAAATAAACTAATAATAAAAAAATCTAAATTTTTAATCGTCAGACTATGACGAACGAGGGAAAAGTGACCGCTAGTATCGTCCTGACGCCTATGACGGCAAAACCAAGGGGGATTGCCCCACCGGGCCCTCAACCTCTCGGTGCTTTCGCACCCCTCTGCTACTCCCGCGTCATCGCCGCTTGATCTCGACCCCTGAATCTCTCTGATGAAAGTCAATCGTTAGTGCAAAGCCCAGGTCTGGGTCTAGTTTTCACGGACACCTAAATAAGCGAACTCGGCGCGACGCGTAACTCTACCGGTATGTCCTCAAAATTATATTTTTGCCGATGCCGTTCTCCGCACGTACGCACAAGTCACAAGCAAAAGCACCAATCAAGAGGCATAATCCATTTAATCCTAATTTAATCAGAAACAAAAATCTGGCCGGCAGCTACGCCGACTTTCACAATCATCAATCAAAAATAAAAAGATCACGCGCGCCTCAAGTCTGCGCGCCTACACACTCTTTACTTTAACCAACCACCTAGTCAACGTAAACCATAGACTCAGTCGCGCCTCGCATGGTATACTTAGACTTTAAACCAATCTTATTTTCTGTCGCTTGCAAAAAACAGGGCGGATACCCTTGTAAGGGTATTCGCACCGACACCGCCCCTTCTGACCTTCTGATACCCCTCTCATGACTATTTTTTTTTCCTCTGGCCCTACCCCCTATGAGGTCCCACCCACCCTCCTCTCTCAACTTTCCCCAGCACACCCCCTCTCCCCCCCATCCTATCTCACTCTCTACCACTCAGGCCCATCACCCATGCCCCTATCGTGATCTTCACAGCACCGGCCGCAAAACATTTGCTTGCAGGAAAATAACCTATATAAAACATCGAGGGGCATCTGTGACCTTAGGTCAGTCGGTATAGCACCGGTGTCGAATATGCAGTGCGGTCTAAGTGCACAGGCTCGAACCTTTCAGCCTTCAACTTTGTGCACTTCGGGAGGAGGGCGTTGGCCGATGCAGGGCGCAGATGAACTGAGCACGCAAGTATTAGCGTTTCAAGCCATTACGGTCGTAGGTCAGTGGGTGGAGCCTCCACGCTGAATGCGCGACTGGTCTTAGGTCGCCGGGCGTCAACCGACCCAAGGCCAAAGTGGGATGCCGAGCGCACTCATGGTCTGATGTTCAATTCTGCCCGCGCACAGGGGACTGAACGGATACAGGTCCGAACCATGGGGGATCCAGCCATCGGCCATCAAGGCTGCCACATCAGATGCTGCGCCCCTGTACATACTCTGAGATCACACAGGACCAATTGCAGCTCCTGTGGGTTGTGCGGGGTCATATGGGGGGACGGGGGCAGAAAGAAAGGCGCAGCGGACTCAGTGAAGAATTCGAGAGAGGGGGGGGGGGGAAGGGGAGGCCGGGATTCACCACAACCCTCACAGGCCTACGACAACTCCCTTCGGTGATAGGCGACAGTGGTGCATGACTGCCTCCAGTCCGGTCACCCCCGTCCCCAACACCCCCAACAACCTTTGTTAAAGAAAAGAAAAGAAACAAAAAAGTCTAAAAAGAATATCATGGGGCCATAATAAACAAGTGCCTAACACCATGGCGGCCGCAACATGTGTTGCTTGCAGGGAAATAACTTCAAAATAAGCTTATATAGAATATAAAGGGGCCATAATAAACGGCTGGCTGAAGCTAAGGAGCAGTGGCAACCATGCTGGCCATCCTTGCTTCCTTATATTCGAGTGTTACTCACCCTCATACTGAAATGCCATTTCCATCCAAAACAAGAGTCACTTGTGGCTAGCTCAGTAGTTGTGGTACACCCATGAACTGTTGAAATACAGATCCAAGTTCGAATCCAGATGCGATCTGATGAACAGGATAAAATAATTAAATAAAATATTTACGGCTTACCTGGGGCTGGGCACTTCGATATGATGATATCTCAAGGCTGTCGCCCGTTTTTGAAAGAAAGGAAAGAAAGGGGGGGAAAAAGAAAGAAAGAACACAGCCGTTTCTTCCGTGCCACTACGGACTGTGGGTCCGCTTGGCCAACTGGACCGCCCACAGCCCCACTTCTCCTCACGGGCCAATCGAATCCAAGTTCTGGGCAGACGGGTTCTGCATATGAACATCCACTGGCAGTTTCAATTTGGCTACTAGCAGCCTACGAGTAGAATCTACCATATGTTAATTACTAATTAGTTAGTAATAAGTACTAATAACAACTACTACTAATAGCCCTTTCTTTACCGTCTTGTAAAACTACATTGGAGTTTGTAAAGTAGTGGTCATAATTTGAGGGGAAAACAAACAAACAACAGTGGGTGGCCATTGGCCAATCCTTTCACCAAAAAAAAAAAAAAAAAAAAAAGGCCAGCCATACAAAAAGCCTTTTGAGGAGTACTAGTTCGGAAAAAAGCCTGGTGGCGTCAGGCGAACCGTGCGCCGCACCCGATTCTACCGGTCATCACCCGAAAAGAATGCTCGGTCAATATAGATGGATATGGGCCAACTTTCAGGTCAGATACAGTGATAATGACCGGGCATTATATTGGGGTGAAGACAGATGGGCTGTGCAAAGAAGTCTAGCGGAAAACTGAAGCTCGGGATCGCTGGTGGCTTGAGGGCTTGGGAAGTTCCCACAAGAAAGATGAGTGCCAATGGGACATGCCGTTGGAGTTGAAGCCTAGAGGTGGCTTGGAGTTCAAGCCCTTCAGATTTATCAAGCTTGGTGTTTTCTCCTCACTTCAGACTTGTGTCAAAAACCCGCCACCAAGCCGGCGGAGAATCATCCCTCACCTCTCTTTGGCCTCAAAATCTCCGCATACTTATCGTAACTTACAGAGAACTCAAATCAGTGCCCATGTGGTACATCACTACTGAGCAGCTACTTGGGCACTGCTTGTATGTTTCATCCAGTTATCACAACTCTTCAGGGGAAAAAAAAGAAAAGAAAAGGAAATATCAACTTCTCTCTCTCTCTCTCTCTCTCTCTCTCTCTCTCTCTCTCTCTCTCTCTCTCTCTCTCTCTCTCTCT